GGGACCGTAATAACAAACTTGTGTCTCGGGCTTGTAACGTTTGCTCTACCAAGGCCTCACGGGTATCGCTGAAAAGCTGGCGCTTCGATCAGTTTACAGTGTCATAGTGTAATTGCACATCCAGTAGAAGTAAATACAGTAAAGCGATTAAAAAAGCACATCAGCAAAGGTGTTGCCTGGAAATTGCAAAATGTGTTGCTTCATCCGGTTGATGGCACACATTAATTGATGTGATTGCCCTGCGCTCTCTGGGTTTGGCATTGCGACTAGCCCTTCGAGTCTAGACGAACAGTGCTGAACTCCACTTTTGCTCACGATTTTACTGCACCACTTAATCTGACGCAGAAAAAATGGTTATTTCCAGGATAAAGCTTCAGCCTGAAGCTCCAGCAAGCAACGAGAGTGCGTTTCAACACCTCCAACAGGTTCATACGACCCGCAGCATATCCGAGGATATCATCGAGCCAAGTCAAAACTACGTGGTATAGCATAGGGCGAAACCCTTCCTTGACTATGTTCTGGCAGTACGCCACTGCGTCCGTTCCACTCATCACTATTCGGGTATGCGTAATGGCGCCCTGATGCGTCGTGATAGAAACGTCTCTTCGCACGAAATGGGGAGAGGTAACTTCCAATATCCACGAAACCAGTCCAACGTAACGTAGCAGGATAATTCCTCCAAAAGCCCCATGGTAGTCTCCAGGATAGGCATTGGCCAATGGATTGGTTCTGTTCTCTCATTTACAACCCTGATATCACGACGGCAAACGCGCAGAGGTTCCAAAAAAAAAAAACATTTCGGATGACATCATGAACTCTCGCAATAAGGCAGTAAAAATCTCTACTGCACCTGTGTCCAACCCAGAGTTTGTTGTCTCTGTAACTCTCACCTGTAAGATGACCGCCACCAGCGCGTCAGCACCTCCTCCCACAACGGTTAGCTTTGGTGTGGCTGTTCTCCATTCCGCGTCCTCCAGTGTGATCGACGCTCGTGTAGGCAAGCGAATATTTTCCTGAATGAAGCAGATGTCGCCACCCTCGTCGCATCTTCGAAGTTTCTGAAAATCCTACTACTGCCGAATGTCACAAACTTGGCCCAGTATAGCCTCCACTGAATACCCTAACTTCTTCATTACCGGACGTGGAAAGACCAACATTTTCTTGTCTTGTTGTTGCTCGAAAACCCTCGTTACAGTGTTGCGTAGCAACCGTGGTCCTGCTGCCGTGTGTATCTGGATCGTGGTTGAAAACAATCCGTATAGTCACATTGAAGAAACTATGACTAAATGTCGCCAGTCTGCGTGGGGCACAGGTTTCGTCGTGCTGTTTGACACCCCGACTGAGTAGTGCATTAACTAGACCACGACCCGTAATATTAACATCGGCTCCAAGTCCCACAGCATATTAAGAAGCTCCAGTACATTATCCAGTCGTGTTATACAGGTGCTACCCGGTTCCAGTCAAAGTACATTCAACAGCAGCGTCTTGGCGCTCTGGGTCTGCGTAGTTGCAGGGTAGCTACTTAAGCTGACACCGTCCTTTTTCCTCGCAACTCCCGCAGAAGAGTATCGGCTTCTCCAGCCGCAAATCACTGGCAATCTTTGACTCGATGTTCATCACCGTTGCACAAAAGACTAGTGCGTTTGTGGCGCGGAGGTTTCTCTTCGGTGTTAACAGTTGATTTATCTGTCCTTTGGTAGGTCTTTTTAGATGACGGCTTGCTCGTTCGCTGCCCATATCGATGTCCAAGGTTCCCAGCGCGCATATCCGTTGCAATTGAGCGGTAGCCACTTTATAAATTCCACAATGTCCTTGGGGAGTGGTTTGTTCGACTCCCTTGCCATCTCATTCTTCACGGTACGTCAAAACGGCTCCGGGCCGAGAGCGTCAATAAGGTAGCCAACAATCTGCTTAGGCTCCTTCCCAACTATTCACTCCATGTTCTTCTTTCCAGCACCTGGTATATCTTGTGTTCCAGTTTGAAGACACGGGAATCAGGATCAGCAAAGTATTCATACTGAGATTTCTGCTCAATATAGGCTTGATCTTGCTGAAATATAGCTCTCCAGCGATTCGTCCTTTCCAGAAGTAGTTGCCCCATCCACCTCCGTTTTATCAACTAGCAGCTTACAGATAGCGAACATAGCGATCAGGCGGCGCCGTTCGTCCTCTACACAAGCGCCCACCGGCATACGGAATGATCAGAAGAAAGATGTCTCAAGTGCCAAAAGCTGATGGCAATAGGGTTTATATTTCTTCACGAAAGCTTGCTTTGGGTGGACTGTAGACCCACGGAAAGTTGGTGTCGGCTTCATTTGCACGCGCTTTGCCACTAACGTCCCACCCGGATTTCTTGGGGTCCCTTCTCGGTCATCACTACTAGCATT